GACATATCACATGCACTGCACCACCAACTATATTATCACAGGCAACGCAACACTCTCTTGTGAAGTCTGTGAGTGACAAAGCTTTCGGGCTCTGACCACCTCCATTCCTGCAACGTGAGTGGGCAAAAAGCCCATGCTGAGCAGGGATTGCTATTCCCACAAGCAAAGTGTGACCAGTGGTGCTCATCTCCTTGGGTCTATAGGTGAACCGGCAGACCCAAATGCTATTGTTGGCTTGTAACAAGTATGATAAAAACAAAACGCACTGTCACTGGCAAAAATATCTAAGTGGTAGCAAACAGCTGTACTGTAGCAGTGCTTTCAGCTGTGGATTTCTGCATCTTCTGTCGCGATTTGTTCATCGCGGTTTGTCCTCATTGGTTTGAACCTCTCGGCCATTCATATGTCAACCGGCAGGGCCGGCCACGCACGGAGAAACGCATCGAAGGCCGGGCGCGACCCCCACGGACGGACCCGTCGGGCGCGCCTGAAGATCACGCGAGGTCCACCAGGTCCACCCCTGTGGGCGGCTTCGCTTCGTGGGCTTCGGTGTGGGCGTTCGGAACAAAAGGGCTTTGAGGGTCAAACTCTTCCCACGAATTCAAACGGACTTTCCGAAAGACATGGACGATCTTCCAGTTTGAAAAGAATCCAGAAGCTGCATCATGCTACAGACTACATGATGTCATGATGTCATGATGCTGATACTGGTAGAGAGCGGGCCCTGAACCCGCAAAATCTAGAGGCAACGTGTTGAAACATGCAATCTAAGTCCAGCACATTCCTTTTCCTCCAAACATTCCTCCAAGGCCTCCAGATGTGTGTTTCGCGCAGGGTCAAGAAAACCATGATCTGCTCCACATGAATGAACTTCTGGATGTTGATAGAACAGTTCTGATAAAAACTCCGTGGTTTCTGTGCAAAGGTGCAAAAGTTGTTGTTGTTTTAATGACTGTAAACATTGAATCAACTTCTGAACGTGTCCGGACATTGGCCAACCTGTTCCGTCCTGTCTTGAACCCCAAGCAACACTTGCCACCTTGTCATGACTTCCTTTGCTAGCACTTACCAGGCACCACTCAATTGAGGGAAACAGCTTTTTGGGCAACCACCATGCTGAGTCTTGTAGTCTTGTTTCCCGTGAGGCACTCACAACATGCACCATGTCTTTACACTTGACTTGTGTTAACTGTTATCCAGTATGTTCCTCTTGGCTAGCACATCTACCTACAGTACATCAAGGGTGAGAGATCAAAAAAGAACAAGAATAACATCAATGAATATATGTATATATATTCAAAAAGAAAGGGATTTCAAAAAAAAAAAAAACTCCCAGTGAGCAATGAAAGGAAAAAAGCAGCAGGGCGGGCGACAGAAAGATCAGGCAGTCCCCAACAGAGCAAACCAAAGCAACAAAGAAAACAAGAGAACGAAAGAATAGAAATGATGGGCAAAGGTGGGCCCTATCACCACCAAAGGACAATGAAAGGATGTTTGCAACACAGGATCAAAAGGCTTAGGCGAGGGGATGCAATATTCGTTGTGGAGATGAAATCTGTCGTGGCAGGCACAGTGCATTGGCAAAGTGCACACTTCGTGGCGCTGGAGAGGGGTTGGGGGGAGGGCGCAGCGACTCCCCCCAAAGCGAACCAAGAACCAAAAGCCACCAGACTCAGAAGGCACCACAAAATAGATCACCAAAAACTGCACACCCCTTGCCCCATAAATGAAGGACACCCAGAAAGTGACACAGTGACCAAGGCAACCGGGTACCTTTTTTGGTTTGCAAAGGTTGCGCCAAATTCGCACTTATTATGAATGTTGCAGACCTCGCGCTTTTTGACCAATGGAGGACCACGGGGCCTACTCAGGATTATTCTCTTGATTAAAGCAGCCTTCGACTCGCGACATGCCCATGCGCCTCCCATACCCATATCATCGTCGTCCATGCCACCAAACATCCCAAAGGGATTGTTTCCTCCAAAGAAGGCCTGCTGCGCTGTCGCACCAAGGACAAGTGGACACCCTGCAGACATTTGTCAGTCATGCTGATACTATATATATATATATATGTGTGCGATTCCTTTCATTGCCGAATAATATATATATATATATCATCGACGTGAGCAAAGATCCAAGTTGGAATCATAATTTTGGGCACTCTGGCACTCTGATGCCCTTCCTATCTAATTTCGCACCATACACGGATCGAGAGCATCTCTGGAATTCCCGATAAAAGGCCTTGAAGATTTCGTCCGCTTCTGCGAAGGAGACACCTGTCAGGACACATCAAACGATCTAGCACAGGGTGCGCTATAAGGCCGGCCCACGGCAAACATCGGCAAACAAACGACGATCTAATATGATCTAATAATTGACAAACAAAGCATGGCAACTCAGAAAGCACTGCATTTTCAGATGCTGCAATTTCAGGTGGGATGACTTCATAACCTTGTTCCATTGTACGGCCTCTTACACAAAGCCAACTTTGGAACTCATACAGCCATGGAAAAAATGAATGCAAGCGCACTTGCGGCAAATCCAAGCACACTTGCGGCAATGCAACAACTTGCGGTTTATCACGATCTCTCCGCTGTCTCCACTGACCTCCACCTGGTCCTCCTCCAGGACCCCCCTGGATGCCGGCTTTGCCGAACCTTAGAGAACACCGGACGACCAGGGTGGTTCGAAGAGGTGGCAAACTGGTCAACAAATAAATCAACCATGACACGCACAATGCTGGCTGCCTCTCCCCCGAAAATCCGAGCGGGATTCAACCGATGAGAAGCTGCACACAGGTCCCCATGGAGTCCCATGACTTCAAACGTCACGAAATCGGGTCCTGACCTCAATCAGGTCCTGACCTCGATCAGCTGGGCTGACCTCGATCTTGCTGCTCCTTCTGTGGCGGGACACAGACTGGCCATCGTTCAACCAAGCGGCTGATCGTAGTTTTTCCTCTTGTCGCCGTCATGAAGCACTTCATAGGCTTCAGTGATTTTCTGCAAGGCGTGACAAAATTCGGGCCAAAAACGATTGCGAGCATCCTCGTGAAGCCTCTTTCTCGTCAAATTCTGGGCAGAAGAAATTGTCTCAACATGACTGGAGAAAACTATCTGGGATTCATTCCATGTAGCTTGGCAACTCAAAGGTATGCACGGCCTATTTCAACAAGCTGTCTACGTCGACCAGCTTCGCAAGCTGCTTTCTACTGAGCACGTCGTGCCTTGAAGTCTTCCTCAGCTTTCTCTTTGTTCTCAGGATTTTTATCCGGGTGGTACCTGCACTCAGGCTTTACCCTGTATGCTTAGCATTGCTTGAAGTCGTTTAAAGCCCTGATGTCATCTGATGTGGAATGGGAGTTTGGAATCACTGTCCACTTAGTGGCTCAGTTCCAAAAATCCTGGTAGAAAATGTTCGCAAGAAGGCAAGTGATCAATCCGACTATGCAATCTTGCATCTAGCAGAATCTAGATGAAGAAACACAAGCATTAGAATCGGACAAAAGGCAAGCGAATCGCGTAATCATGACAAACACAGTATCGTCCCATGTCCTAGAAACACAGTATCATGACATGGGAAGGGAATCGCGTCAAGGCCGCTCTCAAGGCCGCTTCTGTCTATTCTCTGAACACCTGTGGACATCCCGTGAACACCGGTCTCTGACTGGTATGAAGACGGAGAACGGGATGACGGGAGTCAACGGTTCTTGTTATTTACGGTTGTAGCGATCAAAAACATACTACAAAGCTTCTTGTTTCTACAGGTGAAACGATTCCCAATGAGTTCCCAATTCGATCTGCGCACTTCAGTGCCAACTTCTTGTACGCTTTTGCGATCTCACTATCGGAGGCAGTTCGGTCAACTCCAAGGACCTGCCCAGCAGAAGTCGTCGGATGGTTTCTTTCTTGCACTCAAAAGCAAAGAAGGGGTGTTAAGAAGCTTCACTCCAGTGTTGCTTCACATTGTAGAAGATTCAATCATATTGAATCATGCAAGTATAATATCAGTTTCACTTTCATACCATTAAACACTTCTGGTGAGGTTTAAGACTAACACCCGGTGCACCTGTCTGGCAAAGGTTGTCTTTGGTGGGTGCGTCAGGTTGGAATCTAACAGGGGTTTGGTGTTCCAAAGGATGCTGACTGGAAGCGACTGGATTTGGATAAACGGCCCTATGCGGGTGTGTCCGGAAACACAATTCCTTCCTGTACGTGTGCAGCGCACGTTTACTCAAGCTTGCAGTATTACAGGATTGGATGTTCCTCTGCTGGAAGCGATTAAAACATGTCCGCATGTCACATCATGTGCATTAATATATATATATATACAGTAATAGAAATCACATTTAAATAGCTGCGAGCGTGCAACATGCTGCTGGTACAGTGCTTGTATCTACCAAGCCAATGCCCCGTACCGATGCTTTGTTCAGAGCTTTACCCGCCAAAGCAGGAAAGAATCGGCACAGTGTGGCACAGTTGTTTTGACGGTGCCTTGTAGTAGTCCTCAGAATTGACATCTGGAGCTGGCATCTTCACCAAAGGTGATGTCTAAGAAGACCTTCAGAACTCCTGGAGCTGAAAGCAACACGGTCACTGCAGGGTCACTACCTTGGAGTCCAATCTCCTGGGGCTCATCACCCGCACCTTGGGCCGAAGAGACGGCACAGGACAGCACAGGGCAACAGGGATCGCACATGCTGGAACACACCTGCTGCAACCAGGGCACATTTGCTGCAAGGGCAGTTGAACAACGCTTGGGCCCAGGTCAGTGCAGTGCCACAGGATGAACTTCCACCCATAGCATGTAGCATCATGTAGACTGAATTTGCACTGCAGGTGTTGGGGATAGACAAGGGCATGCAAAATAAACGGCTCGATGGTCCTAGTCCAATCCAAGGTCATGGACTCAGCACCAACATGGTTCCGCCCCTCGACCACCCGGATGAACTCGGGTTTCTGTGATAGGGCCCCTTCGCAGAAGAACAGGAAATGCAAAGCTTTTCACAGGTGCATGCGTCTGTCCGGAAACTGTAGCGAGAGTCGGTGAGACGGTGCACACTGTGGATGCCTCTTGGCGGAAGCCAAGGGTTACTTAACCTGTACAAAGCAAAATTGTATAAATTCATGACCGACTTGAATGTCACATGTAGATCTTTGGGGTTGGCTACGGTGGAGAGTGGACCCACACTCCAAAAGTTCCACCTTCAAACGCTGTCCAACTCTTCCGTGGTGTGCTCAAGTGTCTCGACCAATGATCACCTCAGCTAGCGAAAACAGGATAAACAACATGACTCTAACATGACTGACAACAAAATGTTCCAAACTCACAAGCAGCATGTTCTAGCCCTTCCTGCCGTCAAAGGTACGAAGAAGCCCATGGAACCAATCAGCACATATTTCAGCCAGGGCCAGTCATTCAACCTGACTCATCAACATGACAATGCTCAACAAACGGACTGTCACTATGTTAGAACCTGTGATCCAACAAGTTGGAGGACATGCATCCATCAAGTATAAATACAACACATGCAGCGAAAGCAGACCTGCGCTGACAGATCACTCTGCTTTAGCCCTTTCCAGGGCCGCTCCAAGTATCTCTCAGTCCTCTGCCAAATGGTAATCATTCCAGCGTGGGGCAAAAAGACTTGAGCCTTGGCAGCCAAAAAGGCGGTGAGTGATTTGGTGTGCCTTGATTTGGGGGGACAGCTTTGTGGAAAGGCTCCTTGGGGTTCCAGATGTCTAATTCAAGGTCTGGTGAGGTACAAAACACGAAAGATTCAACGATCCAAACGGAGTGGCATCCTGATCTTTCGACTGCTCAGACAGCGGCGCGTCCCATCATCTCTTTCCTGCTGATGAACATCTGCCTGTGTTCGCACATGAGACGCGCAGCATGGGCATGTGCGTCTCCGTGACTCTTGTGACGGTACAAGGCTTGAAGACATCCGAAAAGGTGTCGTCCCATCTTCACTTTCAACCAGAGAAACCCTCCGCGGCCGCTTGGGCCCCGGTCCCAGGACCGATCCGAAGCGCCTCGTAGCATACAATCCTCGATCACCCACCTGCAGAAACTCCCTCACTGACCGATTCCAGATGATTCCAGACTGTCGGATGTCTGGTGTCGGATGTGCGTCAACGTGACAGTCTGTCGCCCCCGCCGTATTGTTGTCACCCTTCGTGAGCACAGCAAGCTTGCCGTCCTTAGTGAGCACAGCTCGTGTCATCACGCGTTTCTTTTGTGGAGCAATAGTCTCGAAGCAAGCAGAATGCTCGACTCTTAGCCCAAAACGTCCTTCTCGTGGACATTCATGATTCGATGAACGATTGGGATATCCTGGCAGCAAAGAACGTATTCCTTGTAGTTGACTCCTCTCTTTGACCAGCATCATGGAAGTGCCTTCTTCTGTACTGGCTCGCTCCAAGATTGTGGACTTCTTCTTTTCTGTCCGGCTGGCCGGCTGCTCAACATGCTGGAGATGCCCTGCCCTCGATCTGGAAAACCACGACATCACCGGGAATGAACCTCAGCTTTTCAAAGCTTCCGCCATGTGTCTTTCAGATGTCCGGGGCCATCTGGGGTGTATATTATGATATACTCATATGCCTATATTGTCTTTAAAATCCGAAAAATCGAAAAGCACATCCGTTGGGCGGATCGCGATGCACCCCGTGGATTCCAACCGATCCTTTGAGCATGGCTTCTTCAACTTCTTGGACACGTTGCGGCAGATTGAGCTTCGGGCGGCTCGGAGTACAACGACAGAAACCTCAGGTCAAAACATGAGGTGGGCGCAAGTGGCAGCACAACACCATCGTTGACCAAAAGTTCCTGTGGAGCTGAGCCACAGAATATCTCCTCTCTGTAGACCAGGTTCCATACTGCCACTGAGCACCACGACCTAGAAATGCAGGTTAAATGTTAAGATGGACAAACATAGATTCCATATAGAATCATATAGATATGTCATGATATGTCTAGATCCTTCACATGTTCGCCTTTTCACCTTTGCAAGAGATTGATTGTCTCTGGGCACCACGACCACTGGGCTTTCGCTCTTGGTCACCACCATCAGACCCTTCCAAAGCATCAGCGCAGAGAAGACAATGCAGCCCAGATTCAGCACCTGCCAGCTGTGGCGCGGTGTGAATGGAGCACGGCCAGGCGGCCAGACATGGCACGGCCAGGCCCACCGAAGGTCGCTGGTGAGGCCCACCTGGGTGAGGAAGGACCGGGGTCTCTTCGCGACATCGCGCAACTCGTTGGTATACTGCCGAAGGATCTCCTGAAATCTGGTGCAAGTTGGAAGCAGCTGAAGTCTTGACACTAAAATGCACCTTGTGTGAATGTAACGTATGTGCGTCAATAACATATATATATGTAGCTCATATGGCTCTTGTAGATCTATCATGTGCTAGGGCTGCTAAGAAAAGGCACAACTTATTTCATTTGGAAATGATCGTTCAATGCTGTGGATGTTTAAGGATGACAGGCAAATGCACAAAAATTACCTCGAATATCCTCAAATCGTTTCTCTGATATGCTTCAAACGCTTCCATTCCACGAATATTGGGAGGCTGGGCCATACCTCAGCTGGATATTCGGGGGCTCATCGCCGGCACCTGGGTGATACAGAGAATTGTTGAGGCCATTTGAAACGCATTCTGTCCATCAGTGTTGCATTCATACAGTAGCTGCAACCCAGGGACACCCTCTGAGCTACGACAGCGCAACGCTTGGGCCCAGGTGCGGAAACAATTCCAAGCCGATCTTTGGACTCGACTCTGCAGCATGATGCAGCGTGTGTCTTCATGATACGTGAATGTTGCACTTGTATCTCTATATATATATCATTAATGATCATTCAATCCGTTCAACGGAGAGCGCAGCTCATGTCAATGTTGCTGGAATGCAACTACGATGCTACACCCGTGTGGCTATCTTGCTGCCTGTCAAACGCCGCTTGGATCATCTACATGGTACAAAATGGGCTTGGATATCTTGTTTGGCTTCATGGATCAAAGCTTCCAAAGCTCGCAAAGCTCTTTGCAGGTGCACGCTTCCCTGCTCCTGCTGCAAATGGGACTTTGCTGTCCGGTGAGACTCGAGTCTGCCTCTTTTGGTGTCGATGTCTCTGTTTTGGCTTCGTCTCAGTGAAGTTCGTGAAGCCTGTTACGTTCCATGATCAATGAGAACCGGTTCAGGTCCCAGGGTTGATCTACATGAGATGTTGGTCTCAAATGCATTCTGCTTTCGTGACCCCCTGTGCCGCTTTGCGCATGTTGAAATCTATGGGTGTTTGGAAGTTCACCCAAACGTCATCAAACCTCTAACATTTTGATCCCCGGCTGTTGACCAGGGAATTCAGCTAATGGGCCAGATGTCGCCATCTGATGGTGAGAAGAGCCGTGACAACCCACATGCCTCAAAAGGCCTCGGATCTGGCCTCACAAATGCCAGAAACTACACTAAGTGCTTTGGTTTCTCTGGCCTGCTTGCCCAACACGAGCCAACTAAGCTATGTGTGTTGTGTCAAGACCAACAAAATGCTGTCTGATGCATGGATTCCACATTGTCCTCCCACCTTGGGACGTTGTCCAACTCTTCCCCTGTCTGCCCAAATGTCATTCTCGACCAATGATCACCTCAGCCCACGTGAGAACAAAACAAACTCTTCGTCTGCCACAACCGGCCCTTCCAACCCCCTTGCTGCAGTCCAAGATTCGAAAAAGCCCATGGAACCAATCAGCACATACTTTAGCCAGGGGTAGTCATTCAACCTCAACCAAGATGGCACATCAAGATGACTGACTCGTTTTTCGAGTTTCGACAGCTGCCATTTCTCAAAGTGGATGATGGCAGTTCTGGTCTTTGCCAGGATGAATTGCCACAAAGCAAATCAACAAGACCCCAAGATCCCAAGATCCCCAAAAGCTATAAACAGCTGTGATGAGTACCAAGAAATCGTTCTGGCACCTTTGGGCTGCACCTTGATGTTATGATGACCAAGTACTAAGTTACTAAGTGCTAAGTTCTTGATCATTCTTGTAGTTGTCCTCGTTCCATGATACTTCCAAGTCTTGCACCAAATCGTAACCATTCCGACATAGGGCAAGTAGGCCTGAGCCTTGGAAACTCACGGTGACTTCCAACACTTTCTGACGAAGTCAACCAAAACCAGTGATATCCTGAGATCAGAAAGCGCCGATAGAGAACAGCTTGGTCTGCGGCCCGCCCCATAATCTCTTTTCTGCTGAGGAAAAGCTGCCTGCGAGAGAGCGTTGCGCTGTCCGGTTCTCCCCCACAAAGCTAGGACAGTTCGCCCAAAGAATTAGCATCAAACGCCAAGAAGAACCAGGTGCTCTTCTTCCCGACTTGTGAAGAGTCACCCCGATCGGCCTAGCAGCGTACAATCCTCTATCATCTACCTGCGGAGCAAATCATGAGTCTTCCTGGATGCATATATATATATATTGTACATATATAGATAAATTAAATATCTATATGTATTATATATATTATATATATTTATATATTATATATTATATACATTATACATATATATATGTTAATATACTATAAATACAGATCATTGAAGCTGACCATTACAAGCCTGATTGTTGTCACCTTTTGTGAGCATAGCAAGCTTCCCATCCTTAGCGCTCACGATTCCCAGTAGTCCCTCTGCGGAGACTGTCAATCCAAGTCAAAGCAGGATGCTCGACTCTGAGCGTGAAGCTTCCTTCTCATGGACATTTAGCATTCTATGTACGATCGGGATATCCTGGCGAGAGAGCGGACCGCTGGGCTCAACCTGTCTCCGCGACGAATGGTCATGCTCCAGCAACTACTGGAGAACTCCATGGAATAGATTGGAATAGCAGAACCAAAAGGCTTGAAACCCTCGCGGGGTCAAGGCTCATCCAGGGAAAGAAGTTGACCGAAACAGCAAAGCTTGGTCTAACGGTATAGAGTAGCGCTGTTCCTTGACGTTGCTTGCTTCCTTTCAACTGCCAAAGGCACTTTGCTAAAAAGAGCCAGCGATACCCTGCCCTCAATCTGGAAAACAACTACATCACCGGGCTTGAACCTTGGCGGATTGGAGTCGGAGTCTCATGTTGAAGACTGAGCCGCCCTTTCTAGGAGAAGTGATTGAGTTGAAGCCCAGGGCAGACTGAGTGTCACGCGGCTCGGAGTACAAAGTGAGAAACCTCAGTTGCAGAGCGAACTGCTTAGCCTACGAGTCTACAGGCTTGCTATCTTATCTGGGGCTATGCAGCGGAGCCACAGAATATCTCCTCTCTGTAGACCAGGTTCCATGCTGCCACTGAGCACCACGACCTAGAAATGCAGGTGTCACAGAACTCCACCCTCTTATTTGCAGCTTAAATTTTAAGATGGACAAACATGGATTCCATACAGAATCATATAGATATGTCATGATATGTCTAGATCCTTCACATGTTCGCCTTTTCACCTTTGCAAGAGATTGATTGTCTCTGGGCACCACGACCACTGGGCTTTCGCTCTTGGTCACCACCATCAGACCCTTCCAAAGCATCAGCGCAGAGAAGACAATGCAGCCCAGATTCAGCACCTGCCAGCCATGGTGAAAAGGATAATCTATATTTACACTCTCTCTCACTGACATGGAAGTGGAAAACAAACAGGAGCTTTTCCACTTCCATGTGATGTGTTCATCCAGGTGTCACCATGCAGAATGACGTCCTGCAGCCCCAATTAAGAAATAGGCCCATAGGTCCGGTAAATAGCACCTTCATTGACGGCCAGGCGCGCCTGTGTGAGGAAGGAGCGTGGCCTCTTGGCCAGGTCTCGGAACTCATTGACATACTGCTGAAATGACTCCTGAAATCGGGCGCAACGGGTCCGAAGCTGGCGCCACCTTCGAAAGGCGCAAAAGGTCGCAAAAAGAATTTGGCAATCACAACATTTAGCAGCAAATGTGCCTTGATTTTGCAAGTCAGGTGTGCGACCATACACATCCAATTCATCCAAGGATTATATACATAATGATTCTGAGCGAGTGCTACATGATTTCACGACTACTGTCTGCCACATGATGTCAATTTGATTGGCGTTCATTCGGACCACATCTAGGGGCTGGGCCATGCTTCAGCTGAATGCCCCGTCAGCGACAAAACCCAACTGGCAGCACCTCTTTAAAAAGCACGCGTGTTCCATTGCCGTCATTTCATAACTGTTGGTCGAAGAAAAAGCTCCACGAGCCAACAACAAAAGGCCTGCTTTCATTCGCTGCATGTACAAGTTGCGCACGGATGTAATCGGATGTATCATCACACCTATGCCACGTTCCTCAACTACTACGTCTGTTGGTACAGGTGTTGCCTCGACTGTCAAAAACTTCCGTGTCAATGCTGTGCAAAAGCGCAGCTTAGTGCGAGCAGTAAAACTCAATTCACTGTGCCCGCCGTTTTGGGACCAAGTGCATATAGCTCTGCAAAATTCTATGTCACATTATGTCACTATGGTGTGTACTTGACTGATTGGAAGCCTTGATTAGCCTTTGCATGTCTTCTCTCCAGGAAACAAAAACAATGGAATAAGACAACGACAAATCCCCTAAGCCAAGCACACTGTGGTGCGCCAGCCGCTGGGCTGACAGGGGAAGGCCTGAAATTCCTACCTTGAAGGCCGCGGGTTATGGCAAAAAGCAACGTTTCAGAATGGTACCAAACGGAATCTGGAGAATCACCCTCATGTCAAAGATAAGATGTGGCTGGGAAATGAACTGAGTCGACATTAGACATGAAACGACCCTGTCAAGCTTGCTGCACTTTGCTGCTTGCCGATTCTTTTTCATCTCCAGTGGTCATCCATACGGGAATTGGAAGCTTTCGAGCTCCCTTCCGCATGCCTCAATTGAAGCTGCGCCAAGAATTCACCTCCTCAAACAGCGTCCTTGGAGTCCAAGGACATCATCTCCACCTTCAAGGTCAACTGCGGGGACCGATCATGGTCATCCAATCCTCACCCGCCGGGTGTGACAAACGACTCCATCCTCACCGATCCTCACCAGTCATGGTCCTCCGCGAGAGAAGGAGCGGCTTCTTGAATCGAATCCTATCGAATCTCCACATCCAAATCTGCAGTGAGGCAGAGCCGCAGGCTTCGGTGTTCAATCTGACAGCAGAAGTAGTTCTTAAGGATGTCCTCGAAGCGGCATGCTTTCAGGGAAGACGGGCGAAGACAGTTCTCAGAAAACATCAGAAAACACACTGTCGTTGAATGGTGGTGGATCCTGATCAAAATCCAGCAATGCCAGCCTGCACTCCGGCCACTCTCATGCCATCGCCATGTCACCCGCTTGTCAAAGCTGGGGTCTCGAAATTGGCCTCAGTCGACCCACAGGAAGAGAAACCCTTTTCTGACAATTGGTCCGTTTCACTCACAGCATCTTCGCTTAGGTTTCAGCAAACTCAGTACACAGGTTGTCCCAATCACAAAAAGTAACTATGAAGCGTGATAAAGTTTCAACTGACATTAATTAATCCAGAAACCACGTTCATCTACTTTGGCAGGATGGAAGTGCAAAGTGTTCTAGAAGCAAGCTGAACCTCTGACTCTGACTCTTTTCATGTCAATATGCCTTGCCTCTTTCCTTGTTCATCTGAAGCGCAATTAAGACTGGTGCAAGTGTTCGTACGTGATGGGCACAAGGAACGGTTTAGAGTCTAGCCGTTTATATAGTTTCTGTGAACAAACATAGCATACAGGTAGAGACGAGATGTCATCCACGTTCATCTCGCCAAAAATGGGCCTTACATGGCCCGTCTGGGTTTGGACCCTTTTTGACCGCTCACTCTTTCTCCGACAACCCAAGAAGGCACACATTGGAGCGGCCAGGGGGGTGGCGCCGCTTGCGCGGGTTTTCCAAAGCAGGGTTGGTGGGATGAGATGATAGGAACCATGGGGATTGATAGGAACCATGAGTTTCATCCATTATCCGCTGAGGTATTCCGAACGATGAGATCTTTGATGCAGCTGCTCCATTGGAAGATGCACATGAGGAGCTTCTGGTTGTGCGGGGAAGTGGTGTCCAATGGGGCTGGGTGGATGGCCATCAAGATTGAAAACCCTTAGATTCAGTTGGGTCTTGTTGTTCATGGCATGGGTTCATAGGATTTCAACATCAGGTGTTTAATGGGAAACGACGGGAGCCATGACCCTGTCACACTCAGCCAGTAACGACGCCAACAGTGGGAGTTGAACCCTTGGGAATTGATTGATGATTTGAGGTCTTTGAGGGTGGCGTCCACCCTCTCAAACAACTTGCGAAAGCAAGAGCGACTCCAGCTAGCTGAGGCTGTAATCATCCTGATGACATTGACTGTAGTCATTTCTTGTATTACTTCCCCCGATGTGATGAAGCGAAATCTATTGGACGAAGGCCAGCGTCGCAGGCCGTTGACGAGTGGCGAGCAATCTGCGCACACGTTCTTTCGAGGTCATGCGCTCCTGCAAAGCGCCGGGCCCTAAGTTTCGTCACTAGGGTTTCATCAATGGAACTACAAGGGCCTACGAAAAGTGTTGCAATCCTTCAGAATGCACTGAAATTGCTAACACCGCACCCCAAAACAGTATATAGTACATGCTTGTCCTCGTTTTGTTTGGGGGTTATCAGTGCCGCACCGCCCATCAGTATGACATCAGCCCCAACTTTCGGAGCGTCTGCTTCTCCTGTGTCAGGTGTTGCCTTAGCTTCTCGAGGTTTTGCGGTGCTGCTCTGAGCTGCTGCTGCAGCACGAGCAAACGAGACCTGGCAACCGCAGGCAGACACGCGTTTCGCTGTGGGTTGCACTGGTTTCCAAGAGCCCAAGGACACTTTACACACCCACATTATCCTGGGGGATTCCTCCTCGTTTCCACAAGTTTTCTCCTACAGGAGCTTCTTTCGTTTCAAGAACCTGTTGAGATCCCATCAGATTGCTCCTCGGTGGGGCCCTGCTTCACTTGAACCCGTTGAAATGCTGTGAAAAAGCCCAGCGCTTGGAGCCAAAAATCGTTGCTTGCCTATGCTTGCCTATCAAAGCCACTCCCTCCCATGCACTTTATATGCACATTCGGGCTTAGGTCTAGGTACAAAGGCCACGCCAACCCTCTAAAACATACCCGAAGATCAAAGCGCCCAAAGTGGTCCGCAGCTTTGACCGGCCAGGACCGAAAGCCTGGCTCGTCGTTCCTCTTCAAGCTGCTCAGCACGTTGAAGCCGAAAGCGCTCTTCCATTTCTGAGGAAGCCCAGCGCGCCTCGAGCAGAGTGCGATGGAGAATGGTTGAGCAAATCCCTCTGATCGCTTTGCAAAAAAAATACGGAGGTCCCACAAGTCCTACGAACGCGTTTGGAGATGAGAGCCCCTTTGTGTTCAAGAACCTCAAGATATATACTGTATATAGGATATATAGGGCAACTGTGGAACTTTGGCAGACCAAAAAAAAAAGGAAAACAACCGAGGACATCTAGGACCAGAAAGTGCTCTGACCAATTGGTGGTGTATCATGGTGTATCAGCACATTCTCGATCATTCTCTTATGGTATTCTATCCTCCCAAAATGCGAGTGTCTAGCTCTCTGAAGCAGTTCCATTCCTCCCAGCTGAAGACAGGCCAAGTCAAGGTCTACTGGACCTCGTTCATGATCTGTGCGCTTTCCTGTTGCATTGCTTGTGCTTTGGCCTCGAGACTGCCTTAGCGTTTTGACATACGCAACAATCTTCACAAGGACGGTTCAACTGCTAGCTGCCAGCTCCTACCACTCCGAACAAGTGTGTGGCGCTTGACCGGGGTATGTATTTGCTGCTCAAGCAATCTGTGTGATCTCAGTCTCAAACTCTTCTTGTCCGCCGCAAGTCGCTGCCTTGCAGGTTTATCTGTCTGACTTCTCACTTCCTGCTGGGCATACTAACGTGTGGAAAGACTCGCGTGTATATGCGAAACATTAACATGTCTCGCTTTAGGCCGTCTGCCTAGGAACCAAATAAATAGCACGAGCGCTATGCTGCGTTCTAGCTAGTAGCTTACCTAGCTAGTAGTTTGCCTTAAGTAGGGCGCCTACTTAATTAAGTAAGAACGAGCAAAAAAGAGTGAAAATACACCTTCAGCCGTCGAGTGGTCAGGTCCGGTGGCCTTCTTCGCTCCAGTCCCGGGCACGACACCCCACTCCGGTGCCCAAGTCTCTCCACTGCACTGAGTCCCCGGGCACTTGATCCAGTTGCAACTCGACAAAGTGGTTCCGCTCTCCTGGAGAGCAAAAGGTCGAAGTCCGAAGAACTGGACGAATGCGAAATGCGTCTGGAATTTGCTCCACCCAGACCTGCAGACCATGCATGACTATGGGACCCCCTATTAACAAAGACTCGGGTGTTTTTTTTTGGTTGCGGGTCCCTGAAATCAGGGTGTCCAAAATAGGGTCAGTGGGAGGATCCTTTTGAATTATCATTGATTACATATGACTTGCAGATTTCCTGGCAGGCGCAGCGCTTTGTGAAGCTTGAAGTGCAAATTTCGTGCGGAAACCGTAAGAGCTTCAAACCCGAAAAGTCACCCTGGAAAGTTTTATACACAGTAAAATATGTTGTTAAAGTTGTATCAAAAGATTTTAAAAAAAAAAACAAAACAAGCTCCAGGTCGAAGGGTCTTCCTTTTCTCTTGACAAAAACCTTTATGAAGAATGCTTCTTCATTAGACAAACAACCAAAGCTTTCGAAAGGTGATGTCGCTGTGCCATGCCGTTTTGCGCGGCCTCATGGTGGACAGACAGGGTAGACAGAGGTGGGCAGTTAGGGTTGTGTTTGAAACCTAATAAAAAGAACTCCGCCAAAGTCGACCATGTTGGTAGTTTAGTAGCGGTTTTTAAGGGCGGTGATTTAAAAACACATATTATATATATACACCGTATTTAGGGTTTCGGACATGGTGTTACAGTATTTTTTAAAATAGAGGAGTGAGGAATGTGTTTAATAAGTACTCGGATGTACTCGGGATTAGATCGGCTGATTTGGCACAAACAGTGATGCAGCAACACGTCCGGTTCATATAACAACTTTCAGAGGGACTCTTTTGATTCAAGCTGTGTGCTTTCGGCTGTGGGGCTTAATCGAAACTCCCTGTCCTTTGGCCTCGACAATCCGGCACAGCTTGGCCTCGCACTGATGTCTCTGGGTGTCAAGGCCGAGGTCAGCTGTGGCAAGTAGGGAGTTTGGTGAGGAATCAACTAAGTTCATTCATCTGATTCGCTTCCAGATTCGACTCCTGGATCATCCGGCTCCTTCGCAAAGAACTTGGCCGTGGGTGACGACAAATGCAGATGTCAGCCGACGAGACGGGCAAAAGTAGCGAACCCGCCGGACGGTTCGTCCGCCACAACTGACCAAGCCAATAGGTTTGGGCCTGGGCCCATCTCTTCCGAGTAGAGCCTGTTCGGATCATAGCTGAGGTCTTGGCTGCTTCTTCTTGTTGTTCTTCATTCAAGCCATGGAGGGCATCCGCCTGTTCCATGTACTCATCCACGCGCGCAGTTGCCTGCAAAATGCATTGGAAATCATTGGAAACAGTTGAAGAAAATAGGTCTGCAAAAGCTTGGACCGGGCATCACTACGACGCAAGGTTGCAGGCAACGAACCTATGTCGGAACAATAACGTGCCGTTGGCATTGAAACTCAGAGCTTTGGCATATGTGACTAAGCGCCTCTGCAAGTCTGTCTCTCCAAGCAAGGTCATTCCTTAGCCACTCAGGATGTCTTTGCGTTGGGCAAGTTGTGTTCAAAAAATATCTATCCTACCCCATCACAAAAAAAAGAAACGCAAGTACCAAGTAAACAAAAACCGCAAGTACCTTGGACTTTGCGACCTGTAACAAAGCCCAATCTTGCAACTCGATCACGGTTCTGAGTCTGATACTCTTGCTTCAGCCTTCCTGCCTGCAGTTGAACGAACTCATTTGGAGAAAAAAACTACTGAAATTAAAATTAGAAAGATCAAGAAAAACCTTAAGGCGTCAAAGGTTTATAGTCTCTGGATAGTGTTGAGATGGATCATGTGACTGCTCTCGGTCCAACCTTGAAATCAGAGAGATTTTACATGCCAGTTAGATGCCATGCGAAGAAGTTTCAACAATTCCCACGCCATCACACATCTGCATATCAACAATCAAATCGAATCTCGATATAGAAAATAATGAAGAGGTAAAGAGAAAACATATGATATAGATATATTCTTCATATGTAGATAGATTGGAAGGAGGGGAAGATGAAAAACAGCAAAGCAACAAGGAAGGAAGCAACCAAGAAGCAAGACAGGAAGGTACTCGTAGCTTAAGAGAGTTGTCAAAACGTTATATAAGTTTCCCTAAAAATCTAGAAACCAAATGAATAGTGCGAGCGCTACTTCAAGGAAGCGTGAGCTATCCTGCGTCTAAAGTAGTAGCTAATTACTTGAGCTACTAGCGAGTCCCTAGCTACTACTAGCTACCTACCTCACCTCTAGCGGCCTACCCCCCTCCCCCCCCAAAAAAGAGGTGATACTTTTTCATGGTTGTTCATCTTCTGTCTATGCCATGGATCGTCACAGTATGCCTCTGACAAAGATTGTCGAAGCTCGCCCATCTGCAGCGCCGCATCGCCCTCAGCACCGGACTGGGCAAAGGCAGGAGACGGTGGCACGAGTGGATCACCGATGTGACTAATGCATAGTCCACTCATTCATCCAGATCATGTCCATTTGGATCATGCTCAAAGCCTTGGATTCCGGCAATCATGTGTGTCTTGATCTTCAGCCTGGGAACAGCATGTGATCAACTTTCAATGCCCGACTTGCAAGATGCTCAGTCAACAAGGACTGCAACCAGGTGGAAAACGTGGTTCAGGCGTTGAACCGGTCATTGATGATCATATATTAATGCCATAAACTAAGACACCAGCTTTGTCTGAGTGCTTTCCCCTTCGGCTTGGCAGTCTTGTAGCTTCTGCAGCATATTGCTAAGTTCCTGTGGTCACATTTGAAGTCTCAGCTGCCATCACTCCTGGGTGATAAGTAGCTTCTACCCGCAAAGAATTCAAGAATTCCGATGAATGCTTGTGAGCTTATGCCGGTATATCAGCATGTATTAGCAAAATATCACGTGAAAGTTACTGTCAACACTTGATGGCATGTGGAAAACTGTTGAGAAACGAGATCCCAGAAAGAATGGAAGCCCCAAGGAATTACAACACAAAGCATCAATGGATGCAGCAACTGGTCAACTCCTTCAAGAACAATACTTTGTCCATCAGAATCATCTTCCACGGTCCATTTCAAGGTCCCTGTTGGTTTGCGTGGTTGTTTTGCTACTCTGGTGTCCGTGCATTGCCCGGTCTCCTCTCGACGTGTCTCCAAAGCAGCCTGAAGTCCTGGCGAAGCAATGCTTCAGGTGTTGCTCGTTTCGCTCTGTTGCTTTTGTTGTACAGGTTGGACAAAGCACCCGAACCTCCAAGCTGAGAGGTCTTCTGCAACTTTTCTTCACCTGAACATTGGAGCACGGAGCTGGGGGGCAAGCTTGATAGCTTGGCAAATTGGATGGTGAGACCCACCCTCCTTTCCTGAAGAAGTGAGTTGCTGGCCATCTGGTTAGTGTAATGCTGGCCATCCGCCCACCTAGCTTTCGCAGCTCCTCTTTGGTCGCCTGGACGGCCTCACGCCAGCACTGTGCTACCAAATCATTGAGAGGTACTTCGCCAAGGGCATCTGGTGGCAACCAACAGAGTTTGGCCCCAAAAACATCTTCTGCAGGTTTGAGACTCAAACAAATGACACAGTTGGCTCTCGAAATGTGACACTTCTTCTTCTTCTTCTAGACCTCTCTTTATCTCTTACTTGAACTTGTTTGATCTCAGGTTTTACACCCCAACTTTGGCAAGTTGTTTGATCCAAACTACCACAGCGCTTTGCGCTTCCCAGCATCGTCCACCTCGACACACGCAGCAAAATCCCTCTGCTGCACGTAGGAGCTACGGAGCTTTTCCAGCTCCTGCAGCATCAATCGGCGACCAAGACTGTATAGAAGCTGTGTAGAATCACAGGGTCCTTTGATTCCAACCTTTACTAAATACTGTTTATTGCTTTTCAATACTGTACTTAAAGGGTCTAGCGGAATGATCCAGATCTCCCAGCAATTTTCTTGAGTGAACGGGCGTGTTGGGGAGGTTGTGCACAATACTCCGCCAGGGAGACCTCTTCACATACTCCCTCGAAGAAGGGAAATAGACCAGTCTGCCCAGCCAGGGCCACGGTATCAATTAAAACACACACCCATCTTCTTCCTACACTTGCCAACCTTGGTGAACCTACCATGATTCCTGGAAAGCTGAGGGACCCATTTTGGCCCAGTCCGTTCACATCCACGGAAGAGAAGTGTTCTGGTATCGCAGTGTCATCGACGATCGTTTTTTTGTCGTGAATTCTCGATCTCTGCAGTTCTATGGGGTGGAGCTTCTGCTATTGAGGCTCTACAAATTGAGATCCCAACATAAATCTCTGTCCTGAATCTTCTTCTGGGCGAATTGAAAGTTCTCCATGGCATCGTGGACCTGTTGACGGTTCTCAACACTGTTCTGCTCCAAGATAGCAACCAAGACCTTGGACACAAACCTCGAATCGCATGGATGCTGTCAAATAAAAAAAGGGATTGAGATGTGGTCTATGTTGTTCCACTCTCCACGTGGAACTTCACCACTTCTGTTCAGGTTTGGTTGGATCACATGATCGGAGAATCATCCTGGATGAATTCTGATTTACAGTGGAAAACCCCCGGGACGCCTTGGAAAACCCTGTGACTGTAGGAACTTTTGGGGCTCAAATAGCTGTGCATTCCATGGCAGCCGAGATGGCCTGAACCTCGATTGAAGTGGTATCCCCCAATCTTTGGCTCACCTGCATTGGAGGACGACTCTCAGTCTCAGTCCGGCGTGCAATGATTCGCAATCTGTTCACTTGGATCTAGCTGTGTGATTTGCAGCACACATATGATGTCACATATGCACATATAATATATATATATAAATATAGTATGCTGTATGTATACATATAATATATATAGGTGATGCAAAAAAAGCGAGAAGTAGAGTCTGGATGATTGGTCTCTGGGATACACTTTTTGCCTGAAGGAAAATATTGCGCTCGGCATCTCTGCATTGTGTCAACCTTGGCAGCCAAAACGATTGGCGAACCAAATGCCTGCATAGTCACTTTGGGACGAAGAAGGGCCCAGGCAGGCATTTCAAGCAAGCAACATCTGCAGCTGATGTCCCAGTGCTTCTACGTCTCTACGCCTATGTTCCACAGAGTTTTGCATCTTTCAACTGTTTAAACATGTTTAAACCGTTTCATGGACTGTCACAGTGGATGCTGTCACTGGTTCAATCAAGGGCATGGCCTAAAACTAAAATGAAAACAAACAACACTCGTGAGCAGAACAACCCATGAAAAACACTCGTTTTGAACCTAAGTCTGGTAATTTGCTGGACATTCTGTGCCTGAGTTGGGTTCATCAATTCAACATTCAAAGAGGGACCTACTGTAACGGGAACACAAATTCTGTCGGTCCAAGAGATCCAAAAAAGCACCCAGAGGACGAGTGAATGCATAGTTTCTTGTTACTACTAGTAAGGCACTTGTTACTAGTAGTAAGGCACTTGTTCCTAGTAGCTTCCATACGGTAACGAGTGCATACCGCATACTTCACCGCATCTGATATCATCAGCCTGGGAAATCAGCGGGTCTTGAGGAGGTGGGTCAGGAGTATCCATCTCGACCGACCCACTGGGCCCTCCAGCTGAGTCTTCATCTCTGAGAGCATCAAGCGATCTAACTCCTCCTGTCTCGAGGTCTGGATTTTCAGGAAGCCAATCAGAACGTCACAAGGTAGTCGTGTTCTCCATGTCACTCAAGCCATGTGGGGCCTTTTGAACGGAGCAATCCTCTCCACTCATCTCCGCACAGCCCTCTTGGGATGGGGGACTCCCAATGTTTCTTCTTCCCCATTGAAAACTGTCCTGTTTCTGCGCCAGCTTGTGGGCCTGGGAGCACCCACACATGTCATGAGCTATGGTCCCTAGGGACGCTTAAGGGTTCCAGAAGACTGCCCGATGAGAAGACACAAGAGCGAGGTTCCTTCTCATTGACCCTCTCATCATGCTTCGATGCCTCTATACATAAAGTGTTTGTGTTTACGGGTCAATAAGCAAAGTTTACATTGATCTCGCTAGTTCAGGAGGAAGTCCAACTTCAAGCGTTTTTCACCAATTCAACATGTATATTTGGGTCGAATGTGCTTTTTAAGGGGGTAGACCCATTCAGCCGGGGTCACATCAATAAGCGTCTTGTCGCACGCTCGGACCAGCCTTCCCCTTCTGTTCCACATCAGTTTCAAGCATTGACAAGCGTGCATGGCTTTGCTGAAGTGCTTGTAGAGCCTGAAGAATCCAAGCTGATGAAATGTCAGAGTATGTCTGATGGCTTGCAAGACTGTTGCGCTCCCATATCAACTATTGATCCAGCAAAGTGGTTGTTACACCAAGTTGGACAATTGAAACTCAACAACAAACTGCTCCAGGACGTGCCCGCCTGCTCTAAGCCCAACTGAAGCTTCTCCTACCAGCGTGATGGTGTTCCGGTGTGGTGCAATCGATGAACATGAAGCCAAAAGACAAAAGAACGTATATTTAAAACTCCCAAAACCATCTGCTTCTGATCTTCTTTTCCCTTCTTTATTACCTCTTGTTGCTGACGGGCATCTAGTAACTAGTACAAGGTGTGACGGTGTGCCGGAGCCTCCAAAATGCTGACAGCTCCACCTCTGGTGCTCTGAGCACCCTCCAGTTCTTTGATCTCCAAGCGTAGACGGTCGCGTGATCGCAGCAGGTGTTCCATGTCACCGATGTCACCTACAGTATAGCACTAGCTCTTAGCAGCTGTGAGTCTCCAAATGGAGGTCTGCCAGAACTTATCTAGTTTGGACAGCAAGATATGATGAAAGGAAGTTTCCACCCTTTCTATAGTTTCATCTGCCAGAGATTACCTGGTATCACATGTAAAGCTAAGGGAAATGAAGTCCCACAGTCCCACACCTTGTTCTTGAGCTGCAGCATGCGGCCTCGAAGCAGGGATAGGCATCCAAAAAGAAATAGAAAGATATAGAAAGTAAGTCCCCTTTGGAATTAAACTGGACACCGTTTCTATTTACTGCATCTCCGAAGTTGAAGCAAAAAAACGATGTGAAAGCCTCTGACACGACCGAAGCCCTTGGAAGCTCTCTTCAAATAATAGCTTGCTTGGTCTTATTCCTACAGGCATTTCGGACAACTCTTGCTCTGATGAGTCTGTCTCATGCCTGAGATTAAGCTCGGCCTTGGTGGCGGCATGAGACATGGGGTGCTTTTGTGTCTCTTGCAATCCTGGAGTAGAGAACATCTGCAACATGCTAACTTAACAGTGCTAACATCTGCAACATCCCGAATTTGGCGCTGCATTCTTTTTTACTATTGACATCAGGAAATAGCGAACATGGTAACATAGTGGATAGAATTGAATAGACATCAATATGCATAATCTGCACACAATGTAGTGGAGCTGGTCTTCGTTGAACCAGATCTAAACATGCCACGTGGTCAAATTCTGGTTGGGACACATGTCATGACAGGGGCGGTGTTGCCAATGTTGTGCGACATCCGCAGTTTGCCATTATTCGCTCCACAAATCCCCGCTGCGGCCCTGACCTTCTGAAGTTGAGCTTCTTCAGCTCGGTAGCGGGACAAACCTGGGCAACAGGCCGCGTGCAGTGCAAAGAGCACAAGGCAAGGGGACGCTTTCATGTACACCGGTCATCACCGATCTTCAGGAAGTATCAGACTTGCACATGAAGAACTTATTCAACTTCATATCCAGCGACTATCGGGGCCCGGGGCTAGCCCACGAAATGGAAACACTTGCGCCGCTTGTGGTCTATATGAAATGCAAATGTACGAGTACGGCCTCCAGCAACGGGCAAACCCCCATTGACAATCTAATCTATAGGAGTCTTTTACACCTAGTAACAATAAGCTACTAGTAACAAGTGCATCGCTACTAGTAACAAGTGCCTTACTAGTAGTAACAAGAAGCTACTAGGAACAAGTGCATCGCTAGTGGAGTCTTTTGCAGCTAAGGCAGCAACTCTCCTCATAGCCTTCGGCCAAGCAGGTCTGTGCCGCCACCTCCTCAACGCCTCTTCGAGAAGAAAAGAGGGGGAAGGACGGCGATTTCGGACCATGAAACGAGGGACATCTCAAATCATCTGAGGGTCAAATGGATTACTGCTGATTCTTGGTCGTCACATCGTGTCCAATCCGAGAAGATCCGAGGATCACATCATGCAGAAACAGTCTGTCCGCTTGCGGGAGAACATTTGTCCGCTTGCGTTTGGTCTGCCACGTTCTGACATGGCGCAAGTGAAAATAGGTGGCATGCCAACAAAGATCCAAGCACTTTGTTTGTTCTGGGATCAATACGACTGCACTACTTTGAGGAGCCAGCCTGCTAATGATTGACCTCGAGAACTCTGATACAGCCGCACCCCGAGAAGAGGCATTCTGCTGTTAGAGTGAGCAAGGTATGATGCCTCAATCCCTGTAAGTTTGCTTGTCTCAAGCCAAACACGTTCTCAAACCCACAAAGCACTTCAGAACTTCAGAAATCTTCAAGAAAAACTTCTTCGACTGATCGTTCCAGGTCGGATTGCGACCGCCTGCCCTGGCTTGAGCAGCTGAAGTCCCTCGGATGGCGGCCAAACCTCAGTAGTAGCTGCTACTTATCGGGTAGCTAATAATTAAACAAAGTCAGCTAGGCTGCTTGCTTTCAACATGCTGGATATAGCTGATCAATCAGACCATTCTTGATTTGCATTGCAAACTACAAGTAGCATCTAACAGATGGCACAAACAAAAGGCATTGAACACCATAAGGCTCCCGCGGCCGGCAGCTGCAGCGGTCTCTAAATTCCAGCACCTGTGTCTGAAGGGCTTGTCAGGAAACCTCACCAAAGTTTCTCTAATCATGTGTTCTTTGATCTTAGCTCTAATAGAGCGAACAAACATATGCACATCTAATCATCTAATGTGAAAAACCATCTCTGCTGCTTCCTTCGACTTGCTCCCTTTGCTTTCGTGCTTCCAAATCGACTTTCAATCGCCTTGCAAGGTCTTCTTGCTCGCCTCAACGTTGAAACAGACCGGGGGAGGATTCCGCCGAGTCCAGGGTCTGCGAACTTTGCATCAGCTGAGAACTGTGTCAAGTCGCTCAACAGGATAAGCTTCCGGCACAACTCCATGCGAGTTTCGGCCAAAATGTTCCTTGGCTGGTGATGAATGCCATGGATGCCATGGATGCCATGTCAAAGTAGTCTTTGACCCCCAAAGTGGATTTTGCAAGGTGTCTTTCCCAAGCAGTTCTTCCTACGCACGGAAATCCGAGTAGCTCTTGGCGCTGGACCTCCGCTGACAAGCTCTGTAATTTTTCCTCATCATAAATCTTCAAGTTTGACCTGCCATCAAAGTGGCAAGTTTGACCAGCTTATGCGATCAAACATGAATGAAGAAAACTCCTTGAATCTTTGAAGCATGGAAACTCAATTTGCAAGGCACATCGCTCTACTCCAAGCTCCGAACATGGATGCCAAGGGCCCCGAAAAATCGCGGTCACAACGGCACAAATCTGGTGCACTCATGTGTTCAGCAAACAATTTTCACCGAAACATTGAATAAAACATGAAAACAACAACCCTGAGAGGCGATTGGGACGAAGGCAGGGCACATGTAATGACAGACTTGTTCTGGCGCTTGTTCTGGCATCAAGTCTGGTATGTGCTCTGACTCATCCTCTATCATAAAGGTTGGAAAATGTTCTGGGTTGTAATCCGACGTCTTTGTTGGCTCCTACCGTGAAGTCTGACATGCGCTGACATGTGTAATGACATGTGTTCCGCAATTTGTTCTGCCATCCCGGCCATCCCGGAAATCTATCTTGCATACATTCTGGCATTCTATCTGGCAAATATTCTGACATTCTATGTGGCATATATATTTTAACATTCTATCTGGCATGTACTGGCGTGCTATCTGGCATGTGCTGGCATTCTATCTGGCATGCAATCTGGCACTCTACCTGGCATATGTTCTGACATTCTATCTGGCATACGGCATCCTATCTGGCATGCAATTTGGCGTTCTGGCATCTATGATGTGGCATAAATTCTGACATTCTTTCTTGCACGCATTCTGTTGTTGTTTTAGTTGGCTTAAGACTTAGCATTCTATCTGGAGTGCATGCTGGCATTCTATCTCCAATATTTGAAGACATTCTCTCTGGCATTCTATCTGGCATATTTTAAGACATTCTCTCTGGCACTCTATCTGGCATATATTCTGATAGTCTATCTGGACATGAAATCTGGCATTCTATCTGGCTCAATTTCTGGCATTATGGCATACATTCTGACACTCTATCTGGCATAAGTTCGGGCATTCTATCTGGCTCAAGTTCTGGCATACATTCTGACATTGTATCTGGCAGTCTATCTCGTATATATTCTGGCATTCTGAGGCGGTTTCGCCCGGCGGCGCCCACTGCAGTCCAACGCTCGCGGTCAAGGTCCGGTGGTGCCCACTGCAATCCAGCACTCGCGGTTGAGGTCCGGTGCTGAACATTGCGAACTAGCACTGGCGGTCGATGACCGGGAGGCAAGGGAGGAGGTAGGACGGGACAGCTCTGATAAATCTAACAACCCTCACCTGGCAGGTCAGGAAAAAAACAAAGCATCCCAAAACGGTCAAGTCATGGCTTCAAGGAAGCTGTGGTCCCAAACACCCCCACACCCCCTTTTCCAGGGTCCTTGCCTGGTCTCTTGCAGCTGTCGCTGAGTTCTCTCAAGGTCCAATCTTATGGCCTGCACCTCAGAATCAGAAGCCAAGCCGATCAGCTTCGCAACTTGTCGCTGGGGGAACCCTGGCCCTTCGAAGACGCCATCACGTGAGTTCCTGTCTGTCAGAATGCAATTTGAGTGGTTGGCTGATAAAACACGTTTCATGTCCATGTATGTGTATATATATATAATACTTAGTACCAGGGCTAACAGACTGAACCAGGTGTAATAGTTTGCACTGTTATTCACACGGGATGTGTCATAACTTTATAACTGTCTGTATGCAAACGGACATTTGGAAGCCTGTGGGTCTAGAATATTGATATAGTATTGTTCTTCAAACTGGGTTTGTCATCACAAACAAAACCTCCATCAAGGGATCACCAAATCCGACACCACACCAAAGCCTTTGTCGCCATGCCCCAAACCGTTTATTTACGAATTTAGCTTCACTCAAAGACTCTTAGCAGCAGTCTGCGAGTTCTGGGCGAACACATACATTCCTTGAACATCTGGGAGCTGCGCATCTGGACAAGTGATTCCAGGGTGTTTTCGGCAGCTGTGCCATTCGGCCAACATCTCTTCAGCATCCAGCTTCTCGCCTGGGGATGTTCATTGAAAGGAAGTCATTGCATGCCACCGGGCAATATGTCAAGGCCATTATTCTCATGCTGCCCAGATTCTCTTCCACCGTGCTGCCAAGGAAAGTTCGTTCTTCTCACTCCGTAGTAGCCTTGGATCAAGCCGCTCTCGCTGCCCTCCGCTGTAGGGAGTCTTCGCAAGTCAAGTAGTGAGTCTTCAACCCGTGACCTGAGAAGCCTTCTTTAAGGCTCCTCAGGTTGAACGGAAAAGGTTGGATGCCATCCGTCCAGTCGGAACCCGGTTTACCCTGAAAGAACAACCACCTTTGAAATCAGCGGCTCTTCCCAACAGCTCTCTTCCTCTGTCAATGCCCTGGCTTCTTCCTTTTGAACAGCTTCTGCGGCTGGAAGTTCTTGATCCTCAGACCCAGCTGATCTGCGGAGGTTCAGGGTAAATCCGCACACAAATCAGCTTCTATTTACGGGGCCCAAGACCATGTTAGGTCAACCAGGGTGGCGTTCTTTCGATGCGTGACAGACTTGCCTTGGTGTCAAAGAACCTCAATGCCTGTAATGCCGAGACTCCGCTGCAGACAACTTTGCAAGCTGCTGTGAGAAGTGATCTTCATGCTTCTGCACCACGACCACGATCCTTTGCGAAGGTGGAGGTGGAGAATGGTCAGGGGTAGCAATCGAGAACAGTCTAGGATGTCAAAATTCCTCAACCCTGCATTGGCCCGGCTCCGATCAAAACTATATAGCATAGATGTGTCCGATCAAAACTATTGCCTTACTTCTCAGCCCAAGATGCTCTTCCAAGTCAGCACGCAATCGCGCTTCACGATCTGCTTCTGCTTTTCTCAGGGTGGCTTCTCTCTCCTGGGCAGCCTCACCGTGGAGTCAGGGAATAGGTTGAAGTATCCTTTCAAGCTTTGATTTCAGACGTGCTCACTGCCCGGAAGCCACCTATCTTTCACAAATTAGCTGCATCAGCATGGAGACAAGCAATGTTCTACTGGAAAGGCCTCCAAACCATTCCTCTGTGCCTTTTCAGCTTCTTCTTTCGCAAGCTCCGCCTGCTTGCGAGCAAGTTGAAGCTCTGCTGTGGCCTGGAAGGCTCAACCAAGGTCGCAACATCAAAGACGCCCTTCTGCGAAAGACGCGTTTCCATCAACATGATCATCCTGTAAATTCCAATCAGAAGCCTCATCTAAATGCTCATCAAAAGTATTTTTCTGCGAGACCGTCCATGGGCACTGATTGATCCATGCTGGTTGAAACGTCAGCTATGTACTTCTCCATACTACGCTTAGCCAAGTCCCAAACTCTACAAATGTCCTATATGGATGTAGTCTGGCCAGAAACAAACGTTCTGCAGAAACGCCCAGGCTCTTCAGTAAATGGCCAGCCCTTCCCAATCGCCCTCTAGTTTCTGCCATGTTGTTGAAGCAAATTTAGATTTAGATACATACATATTGATATATATATATAATTATATATATATATGTATTAAAATATAATGCAATTATGAATATATGTTGTTTCCACGTCAAGAGAAAAAAGATTGAGTAGGACAGTTGTAAAACGTGCTTCCTTATTTGCGGAAGCTATATAAATTCCAGTGACAAGTCATCACAATCTCTTGGTGGAAGAACCTGATCTTTCACACTTGGGGATCCACACCTGCTCGAGCTGATCTCTCAGCAAGGACGCCTCGCCCACACGGGGCCTCAAGGTGGAGGCGTCCCGGTCCTTCACCGTTGAACTCGCTGGGCACCACCATGTGGCCGCTTAGATAGGCGATTTGGGGGTTGGTTCAATGGGAAATGACCCAGAACACCAAGGAGGTGGTTTCATCTATAGACTCTATGTTCATATATGCTCGAGAGTTGAGCGAACAAACAAAACATTAAGGACTCAATGCAGTCCTCCACCAGGGAAGCACCGTCCAGCACCTTCAACCAGGGAAGCACCTGCAAAACGCACTGGCCTCAGAATTTCACTGTCAAATCCCCGTACCCCGCATGGACACCCAAGGAAGAGAGTAGGCTCTATTGGGGGATGTTCATCTGAGGCATTGATTTCGGCTGGATGGGGCTCTACAACAAACCCTTTGTGGAAACGTTCGTTATCTTTGCTCACGCGATTTGTTTTCAGGGTGGTGACTGTTGCAGCTGAGTTCGGTGCTTGCAGGAGGCGCTTTAGGCTTTCGCAAGCTTTCGCAAGACCAAACGCTCTGCACAGAGCTTACATGGCACATTGATGAGTTCCACCTTTGTATGAATTATGTCAATCGCAAAAACATTGCTGCGCATTGCTCATCTATCAATCAAGGTATAGAATTCCAGTAATTATCTGGGTTTACCCGCACATCACTCTGTTTGAAGCACGTGCAGACGTTCCTTCATCCGGGCATGTGGAATGTGTAGAACTTGTTCCACCAAGCGTCGATACATCACTTCCTCACAAATGGGATTCCCGCCATCGCCCATGCTCCTTTCCTGCAAATGCTCCATTCAACCGCGGATTTGACCGTCGGAAGCCTTGGACCTAAGGGGCTCCCAACCCAGTCCTTTCTGTATCCAGCAACCATGCACATCTTCAACCCCCTTTCACATCTGTTGCAATAGCAAGGCATGTTGGAGAAACGGCAAATCTTTCCGAAACATACCCTCATTTGGCTTGCTCCACTTCAGGGTGTGGGTATGTTCCAACGTTGCCATACCACCCCTGACTTATCTGACAGGGGGCCTTTCTCGACTCCATCAAGTGTGCATTTTAGAAATGAATCTAGGAACCAAATCTCTAGGGGCTAGAAGCTACTAGGGGCTCCTGGCCTTACTACTAGGAGCAAGGACGCTACTAGGGGCTCCTGGCATCGCTACTAGGAGCAAGGACGCTACTAGGGAACCAAATGATTAGCACGAGCGCTTCTTCAATTGCGCTCCCCCCTCCCTTGGGCGGGGGAAGCTTCCTTGAAGAAGCGTGAGCTACCCTGCGTCCACTGCCCTTACTCAACCAAGTAGGCGCCTACTTAATTACTGTAGGTATGGGCATGCTAAAAAAATATATAGATCCAAGGTCCTGGAACGCGACCTCCTCCAATTTGGTAGACCCACCCAGGAACAGCAGCTGCGCCAGCTTAGCGATTCGGTTACACCTGCAGCTGCTTGGCTCCAAAGATCTCAAAACGGTGAACATGCAGCTGCAGGCCTTTGCATCTCGTTTTTTTGAGGAAAAACATAGAAAGGCAGCACCTTAGAGCCACTTGAGTTCTACTTGAGCAGTTAAACTTTCTGTGTCAGCTGTCCACCTAGCTCAAGGAAATCTCATCACTGCGTTGCGTAGCTGCATATCTATCACCAAACTTTTTCCATACGGAGTCAGAGCTAGTGATTTGGGATCCGCATCCTGAGTGTAAAAGACATCGACGGGATATCCATCCATGCTTGGGAAGGTCGTTTGCTTTTGCCACAGCTGTTTGAAGCATCACAGCTCAACCCTCGGCCTCAAATCCAAAGATTTCAGCGCACTTCGTTGGCCCCAAAAATTCATTTGACCTACGCACTGCGATGGCATCGCTTCGCCGCGAAGTGGCTGAACTCGGTCATGGTAGAAATTCTGCTACAGGAGTTTTGTTTAGCCCGCTCCTAGTTCATTAAGTAGGCGCCTACTTAATCAAGTAAGGGAGAAGTTTGCTCCTAGCTACTTAAGCTACATATGGACGCAGGGTAGCTCACGCTTCTTCAAGGAAGCTCCCTCCGCCTGAGGGCCAGGAGTTGGTTCCCAGTTTCTAATAGCTTCTTTGTTACTACTAGTGAGGCACCTGTTACTACTAGCGTGGCACTTGTTACTACTAGGGAACTTAACTGACACCCAGAGGTGCCTCCACCACGTTAGTTCGGAGTTCAGGTTTGGAAGGACAGCCCGAAGCACCCCCACAACGACTGCATCCAACAACATAGCAGAGGTTCAAATCCGTGTGGCACTTGGTTCATGTTTTAATATTGTTTATGTGAAAAGTAAAACTACCAAAGTCAGTCAAACCAAAGAAAAGAAAAGTATCCGTGCAACAAAGAGCAAAAGAAGAAAAGAAGCCAGGTGAGATGTCCAACGAGCTCATGGGCGTTGCTATTGATCAGATCTGCGACTCACTCCCAAGATTTGGTGGCAACATGTGACAACACAATATCTCAACACCAGCCTTCAAGACACTCAATGTGATTGTAAGCCAATCGCCTCAGGCCAACGTGTGACCGAAACCTCATCTTGTGAGGCAAACGGTAGACTTGGTCGAGGAAAGAGTCCTTGTGGACATTGACCAGCAAGCAGCAAAAGCATCTGATGCAAAGATCGCAAGCCCCAAGTGGGCATTTGGAATTGATCCCCTCATAGTCATTGAGCATCATGCATTTTTTATGAAGCCTTGTTGCATATGTGACCCTGGACCTTCATGTAGTCAGTCCGACAATGAAAATCATTGTTTCAAATCCAGTAATCGATGACAAGTCACAGCTCCTGCAAGGCACAGAGACCTTGCAACCCCTCGAGGCCTTTGAGCTCGTTGCAGGACAAATCCAGCACTCGCAAGCACCGTCGCACCCCCTTGAAGTCCGACGGCCTGGCGAAGGAGTCGCACAGAAAAGGATGTTGTTTTTGCTCGCTCCTACTTAATGAAGTGGGCGCCTACTGAATAAAGTAAGTAAGGGAGTAAGCTACTAGACTAGGCTACGTTAGCTTCTAAGTAGGACGCAGGATAGCTCCTGCACTATTCATTTGGTTCCTAGATTGTTTGAAACAAGAGAAGAGAGGCAAGGCAACTGGGGGTAATAGACTGATTGATTCTAATAGTGTGTCAACATGTGTCAAATACAGAGCAGAACAGCCTTCCAAGGTAGATCAAGGCAATCAATAGTTTTAGACCCTTTGACATGTTGGGTTCAGACTGCAAATAAGAATAGATTGGATGGTACCAGGTCTTCAAGGAATTGGAGACATCCATAGAACGCTCACTCGCTGTAGTGCAACGTCAAAAGCCATGAAAACAACTGCATCACGTGTTGCGCAACACCTTTCAACCTGTGTGTAGATGTATCTAATCACTACCTTGGATGGTTCTGCAGCACATCACATGGAATATGTTTAGATCAACCCTCGGCTGTAGATCAAACCTTGGAAGCAACCAATCCCCAAAAAGGAAATACCCTGAAAGACCAATCCAATTAGACCTGCAGCTCGCTTTTGTGCTTCTACGCATCCCACCCCTGCCTGACTTGCTTGATGCAATTGCCAGACAGAATCAGCTCCTGGAGAAGCTAAAAACAATCAAGACAATCCAGGTGGACGAATCTCCAGCTTGATAGGATCATCATTTGGCATCCTGTCATAATGCCAAAACTGGTGCAAAAGAGATCAAGAGAGCAGTCTCTTGCCATCTATTTCAGCCCCTAAACCACCAAAAAGCTGGAGTTTGTTTTCTCCCAAACCTGCTTCTCAATTCGAGAACCCAGCGGTTTGGTCCGGTCTGACTTGGAAACCAATTCCAAGCTAGCCAACAAACGAAGAGGCTGTTGGCCAAGTTGGCACCTCCAAAAAGCTAGCCTGGAACTCCAGTCCATTATCGGCTTGTACAGGAAAAGTAAAGGATTATCACAAAACCCGTAAGTACTCAAACCAACCTTTGGTTCTGACTTCTATGAACGACACGAGGCCTCTCCGGGGGCACAGTCGGTCCTCGAGGTTTCGGAACTGGCACAGGCCATCAAGATCTTTGATGCGATTCATGTGCAGATTCAGCCTGCAGGTCCTCGATTTTTCGGTCATCAACTGAATGTGTGGATTCCTCAGAAATCGTCATAATTCGTCATATCATAAACGAAAGGGTCTCCAAATCAAAATTCTTGTAGACTCAGAACAGCTCATGTGATGATGCTCATCTGATGAACCAATGATCTGATCACTGTACCTTCTCAGTGCTGGGCTCTGCATGTTCATTGCCATCTCCGGCAATCTCATGTAAGGAGGTGAGGCCGGCAGCTAGCAAGTCCAGGCTCATGGCCGTGTGGTTTTCCACACAAAGTGTTCATAATGTTACTCCAAGCAATCACGAAGCGCAGTTGGAAAAGAGATGAGATATGGTTCGAGACGTTGCTGTATCCATTTGTGCCCGTGTATGTGCAAATATCAGAGTGGACTGAATGTGAATGTGATGCGGAGACCTCTGCATAGATCAATGTGTATCTATATATTACAAGTAATATAGTATATAACATGTCTGGTCCAGGTCCCAGGGACAATTCACATCAGTTGACGGAAACTGCGACGATAAAATTGATAAATCGTATGAGATGTGCTGCACTTCAGGCAATACAGGATACCACTCTCATCAAGCCATGCGACATCATGAGACCAATGGGCACCAACCGCAGGGCCGGCACTTTTTCGCGTCTCTGACACTTTGGCAGGCAGTCCATTAACCAAGCTGGGCGTCCAAGTCTATCACCTCAACAAGCTGGGTTTGCATCAATTCCTTACCAAGAGCTCTCTACAATGGATTGATGACACATTCCCTGCTGAAAGCTGAAAAGGTATCACCTGAATCTTTGGAACCAAGGAGGTGTCAAGTGCGAGCGCAGGCGATCTGTTTGCAACAACTCTGTAAAGACTTGAGCGGCTACAACTCCTCAATTGTTTCATTGCAACCACAAAGTTGATCGCATCTGTGTCTCTGAAAAGCGAAGCTCCAACCCAAGTGGTCTTAGCTTAGCTTCCTTCTCAGGTCAGACTGGGTGAGTAAATTTCCGCCCCACCTAGGAAGCATGAGAACATTGTTGTCCTACGATGGCTCGGATTAGAAGTATCTCTAGCATATCTGTGCAGAACAACGTCTTGCCGGACAGCCGAACATCCTCAACACCTTTTTTGGCATGTTAGTGTCAATTCGACCGTTAGACCAGTTGTTCCGTTGTTCAAAGCTCAGCGCCACGCCCAGCGACTGCGGTGGCCTCTGGCACCTGCGGGAGCGGCTGCGGAGCCGACACCAAAGCCTTGGATTTTGTTTCGCAATTCTCGCAATCTCTTGTGAAGAAAAACTAATGTATCCCTTGATCATGATTTTTCTTTAGAAACGTGCAAGTGCCATCGCGTTTATTTTGAGGATCTTTTGCGCAGAGAAAGAGACTGATGAGGCCATGGAGTCATTGTCACTCACTAAGGATCTCTCCTCCACAAAGTGACCTGCGCCGAACGTGCGGACAGAGTGGCCAAGATGGGCCAAGGGGGAACCAAACAAAGGGGACCAAGCAAGGGAACCAAGCGGACCAAGGGGGCTGCGTAATTTCAACAAGATTGAATTGTCATCCTAACTGCTGTGGGGTTGACGTCATCACCAGGCTTGGATGTGCTGAAACCGGTTATATACATATGGAAAAATGTATTTATATGGTGCAGTATGTATGTGCACAGGTGTGTGTATATATATAATGATATATCCATAAAATTATATTTTAAATATAAATGTATGCAGTATGCATGTCTTGGATCAGAGAAAATTTAGGTTTTAACTTGGTCCATTTGACAAAACCAACAAACAGAATGAGTAGTGGTGGTGCCCACTGCACATGCACATCCCACGAAGAGAATGTAGCGCGTCAGTGTTCATACATCCGTCACCGTCTGCCCAAAGGAGAAAACAAATGTCCCTCATCTTGGCCAAATCAAGTAAATTCAACAATTCATGCAGTGAGCCAAGTCACCTGTTGTGCTTCCGTGCCTGCATCGCCGTCTAGAACGATGCTATCACCATCCCAAGCTTCCAGCATTCCAGACGCCTCGTGACGTGCGCCACCACGCCCTGGTGCACATAGAAAAAAGTGCCACCCCAAACCCATGGGAATCAAAAGAAAATAGAATCACATCCTTTGGATCAAGACCGTTTTTGTGATTTGATGCGAAGCTGGAGTTCTGACCGCCACATATTTATCACCAGCGCAGGCAAGCTGGGGTTTCGGCCGAGACAGGCACCACATGGACTCGCTGCTGAAAGTTGGGACCAATAGTAATTCTTGAATGTTCTTGAGATGCTGAAGAATTTCGAAGGTATCTTGTTTATGTGTGTGTGCGTGTGTGTGGGACACCCTGGAGTCACAGGGAATCCGTTGATTTTGGCTTTGCTTATGGTTTAGCAAGGGGCATGCGGCCATCACGCAAACGCATGCCAACAAAGCTACGCGTGATGGTGGAAGCCAGGTTTGCTCAACCTGGTGTACATGCAAATCATGATTTTACTACGTAGCTACGTCCCACTCTACTTTCAGGCTGTTTAGGTGGAGGTAGGTCGGTAGACTCTGCACGGCTTCGTCGTCCTTGTCGACCGCTCGCCTCTCGCTTTGGAACTGGGGGATTCTTGGAATCTTCCTTGGCGGTTTGCCTGAAGCGTTCATGGTCACTTACTCACCTGGTTTCCTTAGGTTTTTACTTAGGCTGGCGTGTGGCAAGCCGCAAGTCGTGTCAGCACGCGATATCTCGAGTGTGTCTGGCTTCATGCCAGCCCACGGTAAGCCCAAAGATGCCCCCCTGAGGCCCTGTCGAACGGGGGTGTCCACAGCGGGCTTACGCCATAGTTTCGCCAAGATTTGGGTCCGCTGCGGACATTGGATGCGAGCCACTGTGGCACGGCCCGAGTAGACCGCAGCGGTCAGAGATCTTTTTAGGCCCATTGGGGTCTGCCCGAACCATAGGTGCACACACAGCTCGTACATACCAAACTCAGGCTGGGTTCACATAGGTCCGCTTTAATGAGGTTTGGCTTCGTTGTTGGCGGCCCCTCCATCTGGTTCCCCCTTCATTCTTCCCCTTTCACACACACTTCTTTTCGTTTTTCTTTTCATGTCTTCTCCGCCTTCATGTCCTGTCATCTCACTCCTTTCCTTCTTTTGCGTGCACATCGGTCCGGCCCCCAGTGTACGCGCGCACTTGTACATGAAATCCAGGTTTGAGGTCGTCCCGGTTGTTACAAGGAGGTTGGGTTCATCGGTTGTCCCTGGTCACTTGGTTTCTTTTCGTTGCAACCACATACACATACACCTGGTCCGTCTTGTCCTCGTTTCATGTCCTCATCCAATTGTCTGTTTTGCACGCACACATGCACATTTGTCTAAACCTTAGTTTTTCCGCGCCGGGAGGCGTGTGTGTGACACCCTTGGAGTCACAGGGAATCCGTTGATTTTGGTTTTGCTTGTGGCTTAGCAGGGGCATGCGGCCATCACGCAAACGCTGTTTAGGTGGAGGTAGGTCGGTAGACTCTGCACGGCTTCGTCGTCCTTGTCGACCGCTCGCCTCTCGCTTTGGAACTGGGGGATTCTTGGAGTCTTCCTTGGCGGTTTGCCTGAAGCGTTCATGGTCACTTACTCACCTGGTGTCCTTTGGCTTTTACTTAGGCTGGCGTGTGGCAAGCCGCAAGTTGTGTCAGCACGCAATATCTCGAGTGTGTCAATCCCTGTCTCCAAGGGAACACATCACACTCCTTTCTTTTATTCAAGTTTTAAAACAGCCGGGGGCAGGAGCACCATTGCAAGTCTCCTGCCAACAAAGACACTTGCAACGGTGGTGAAACCAGACCTGATCAGTCTGGCGTACCTGCATGGTTGTGATGTTGTTTAAGCTGTTTTACCCACCTCTTCCATAAAGGGCTGACGCACTTTGTTGAAGCATTCCGTTCTTCCAACTTATCGCCATACCGCTGATTCGGCCAAGGTCTAATTGAATTAAGGTCCAATTGCAGTAAAGTGGAAACTCACTAACTGACGCCTCTTGCGAGCCATCTATCTAAGCCCAAAGCATGTCAACAGCCTGCTATGTGACACTAGGCTCGTGATGATGGTGAGTTCCAAATAGATCAAACTGATTTCCAAGACATGTTCAAGGGGGGTTCACCTTTTTGTTTGATGGGCGTGATCATTTCAATACGGTGGGTCCAATTGTGGATGACTCCTGCCCCAAAGCACTCAAGACTCAAGACCAGTAAAAAAGTAATAGCCCCAGCCGATTGACGCCAGCATCTGCCTCCGGTCTTTCTCGTGACAAGCATGTGACCTAGGCTGAGGCTACCTGGAGGCTTGTCTCAAAGACGTAGGGTGTCCTTTTGTGACTTTTGTTTTGTTGAAGTTTTCTTGTACTAAACTTGGTTGTACAATCGTCTTCCTCCATCCCCCACACTGATGACATCGGACATGAACACCCATGCACTATCATGCACTTGTTGCGCTTGTAATTGTACTTTAGCACGGTCAAGGTGCGATGTCATGTGGTCCCTCTGACTGAGCTACACAGTGTATCTTACAGTGAAAAAAGACGCAAGTGATAGGTATAATAGGCTCGTCTATTGTCACTTCTCCCAGCAAAAATGTACCATCAATCCCATATGATAATACAAATTTCATCAAATTTCAACTGACCAAGATTCCTCCGGTGCATCGAACGCTGGGGATGCCACCGGATCGCTCTCTCTGTGTGCCGACCTCGGGATCGTCCACGCGGATGCCACGCTCGGAATCGACCCACACCAAGCTTTTCGGAATTTGAACTGGGTACACGACCCACTTGGAAAGGACAAAGCCTGCCAAAAGCCAAAATCAATTGCTGTAGATGGCAAGTCACCAGTGACTGCTAAGGGTCATTTCTTGCAGGTTGGCAAATGGACTACAAAGCTGTGATCAACGCCTGTCTTCCTGAAAGGTGCCCATGCTGCGGCTGGCTTTGGCCTTGGAGTGAAAAGACTGAAAAAAGAGAACGTCAAAATCTGAGACATGAACCGCAATAGGACCAGGATAGGATGAACATCTCAGGATCTTCTGAACATCTCCCAACACTGTGGGCTGGGATCTCCGGAATCCAATCGGAGGTGAAACACGGGAGCTCGCTGGAAGTTGGACATTCCGAGACTGCGTCTTGCTAGCTAGGAAACTGAAAAGATAGACATACTTCATTCATTCATATATATATATATGCATATACCTGGACAACGATCATACCGTTTTTGGGATCAAAGGGCCAAAGGGCCCTTTCTTGGGTCACTACGGCTTTGATTGTCTGGAGCCATACTTTTTGTGAGAGCTTCTTCAGAAAAATACACTTTCTACGTAGGTATACCTTCCAGGACACCCATGTTGATTTAAATTGTCTCCCTTGTAAGTGGACTGGTGTTTGTCCACAACACAAAAAAGCAATAATAATTAAATCGCAACATGAGGAGGGATCATGGGGCCTGAGTTCTTCCAACGTCTCTCCAAAAAGAGACAATAAAACTACATCTGAAGCATCTCCAGTAGCATTTGTCCAACAAACAACACTTCATCTGCAATAGGATCTGATCAAACAAAGCAAAAGATCAGACATATGTCTGAGGGCATTCAAATCTTTTCTGTGCAAGACCAATGTGACTGCAAAAAACTTTGACAAGGAAGTTGATTGTTTAAAGTGCTGTTACTTGGACTTGGAATTGCATATCTTAGTAAACCGCGTATTCAATGACAAATGGTGTTTAGAGGAACTTTATCCCTGACCAATGTCAACCGAATAGAATTAAGTTCCTATGACATCGGACCTTTTAGATCAATTCTAAGACATCAATTTGAATAAACAAAAGGGTTGAAAAACGTTCCACAAAAGGCACGTCACTTGGCACTTCTGGGAGGTGTCTTCCATGAAAGGTAATGTCAATTCTGCAGGGAGGAAAACGTTTTGCGGAGGAACAATTTCTCATTCAGAAACAGATTGAATAAGGAGGCTATATATTGGCAAAAAGCATTTGTAGGGAAGGCTCATACAAGGTGATTTCCTCATAAAAGGATGAAGAAGAATATGAAAAAAGAACCTATATTTTAAAAAACATATAATAAGAAGAAAAAACATTCCTCAAAAAACTGAGGAATGAAGGCTTTACAAGGAAAGAAATTGACTATGTTTAAAGAAAGAACACTAATGCACTAATACTGTTGATAGAAATCCATTTGAAAACACATCGTTGGAAAAAGACTGTGTGGAAAGGAATAAACTATATGTGTTTTCCAACCCCTCTCATCTTTACCAATAGAAACTCTGGTAACGGGAATATTTTCTTAAAGAGTATTTTGCATGAGAAAGAAGCATACAATTGTAACGAGCAATGAGGCATTGTTTGAATTGCTGATCTATCACCTGGTATCTGGAAGTGTTCGACGTCTTTTACCGTCCATCTTCTCAGCAAATTCAATGTGAAAATCAGATGCAAGATTCTAGAAGTGAAAAATGTTATGATAGCAATACAGGGACTGAAGAAAATGTGAGTGTTACAAGTTAGAATGGGCAATAAGATTCTCAAATATACTTACTGCATTGCCTGTCATAGCAGACAATGAACATCAATTAGTGGAAACATCCATGCATGAATTGCAATTTTGCAAGGTATTCGATTCCATAGTACTGAGGATAACAAGTACCATGTGTACATATAATGTACATATATACACACATGAAATTGAACTATATTACTTTGGAATGCCTGGATGGGACTTGTACGCGCACAATATATGTACAAGTCCATCCAAGCATTCCAAAGTACCTATATAATCATACTGTAAGCATAAGAGTTTCACAATTACAGTACCCATCTGACTCAAAACAGGGGTCCTGGTCCTGGGGGGTAGCATACATATTTGTAAATATATATATATATATAAACTCGAGAACCCGCTCTTTTAACGGCGCTCCGCAGTTTATCAGAAAATATTAAATGGAACACAAAGCAACTGCTGATCACTCGCAGATCAGTTAGTACCCTCAAGTACTGTGCCTCTCCCAAAGGCCTTTGGGGCTCAGTTTTCCTCCCCCCCACCAAGCCGGAGGATCGGAAAACCCCCCTTTACCTTCCTATGGCCTCTCGCCAAGCCGAGAGCCATAGGCCAGGCAATCTTTTTTGTGGGCAAAAAATGGCAAACAAAGACTTCCTTCCATCAGCGTCAGCCTTGGGCTGGGTGGGAAGGGCCTTAAGCCACAACACTGCGGTTAAAAGTCTTGGGTTTCTCGTTTTTAGATACGAAGCGAAGCCCAAAAACTCGAGAACCCGCTCTTTTTAACGGCGCTCCGCAGTTTATCAGAAAATATTAAATGGAACACAAAGCAACTGCTGATCACTCGCAGATCAGTTAGTACCCTCAAGTACTGTGCCTCTCCCAAAGGCCTTTGGGGCTCAGTTTTCCTTCCCCCCCGCCAAGCCGGAGGATCGGAAAACCCCCCTTTACCTTCCTATGGCCTCTCGCCAAGCCGAGAGCCATAGGCCAGGCAATCTTTTTTGTGGGCAAAAAATGGCCAACAAAGACTTCCTTCCACGCCCCCCTTTTTCTTGCGCGTGAGCGCGAGTTCAAGTGTTGTGGAAAACGGTGAGAGTGAAACGCTCGGACAAAAGGGGTTAGACTCTTTGAGGGAAGTTTGAGGTCAGCTAGCACCGCCATGCCTTCATTAATATAAATTCGGGCGGTTTTAGCGGCTTGCCAACGCCCGGAAATGAGAAGCTTATCGAACGACCCGTGTTTTGCGAACCAAAAGGTCGCGCCCCCCCTACGCAGGGAGTAGGGCCTGAACTCAAAAAGCGTAATCTCCAAAGCCGCAACGGCTGTCTTAAATAACGTCCTCCAAGCAGACACTGATTCGACAAACCGTGCTGAAGGCACAGCCAGTGATTTCCACTGCCACAGCCACTTTAAGGCTGCATCAGCAGTGATAGTAACCGACTCCGCTGCTCCTGCTCGCTTTCCACTCTTCGTGAGACCTAGGCTCACTACTGCAGGAGAGCTAGCTGATTTCATAAAAATGTTGCTATTTCTCACTTCCGTCACTTCACCTGTTCGCAGCATGCCATAGAAGGCCAGCAGGAGGGAAATTCCAAAGCCATAATGCCCATGGAGGAAGCTCCAACCGACCATAGCATGAACCGCTGTCTCGGTGAGGGGTGGCGCGCGATTCGGGATTTCATTTGTACTCCACGTAGCGGGGAGCTGCCCCTTAAGCTTAGGATCTGCGTCCTGCAGGCCGGCAACCGTGTCCGAGGCCAGACCCCGGCCCTCGCCCTCGGACCACAAGAACTCAATGTATTCGCTCAGGAGCCCGTCAAGGCGCTCCCGCTTTCGTGGCAAGCTAAGATGATTGGCGTCAAGAAATTCGTAGAACTTCTGCCTGGCTGCGGTATACCTTTGGTTTGTTTTAGGCGAAACCGTGAGGGATTTGAGAGACCCAAGCTGCTTGCGCTGAACCTGTCTGGCTTGCTTGCTGTGACCTTCAAGGAAGGTTCGCCCTATTTTCCCCATGTCTTCTTAACCGGCCTTCGGCTGGGCCGGTCAGCTGGATTTTGCGATGTGTGTATGTAGCCCCAAAGGGGATGAAGATCACCTGCAAGCATCAGAGCGTTCAGCCGCACGATAATGGGTCTCAATTTTTTGCTTGAACTTCGACCTCTGGTCAAGGCGTGCATGCAGACCATGCTATCCGTAAGGTGAAGAAAACGAACTCCCCACCGTCTGGAGCGTGACAACTTCCACTTGATGCTGGTGAGAATGCACGTAGTTCCAGGAGATTGATACGCTCTCCCGAATGTCGCCACCGCCACCTGAAATGTCACGCCATCGCCACAACCGTCCTGGAACACTAGCTCGAAGGCGGAAGTACTTGGGAGCTGGATCTGTACCTGTGTGAACCATGAGGTCTTCTCCCTTCGTCGAGGAGAATCCAAAGCACTTGCGTACTAGCCTCTCTGCTGCGTCAGAGTCACCCGTCCCCAGGCGTCCCTGATGCCGTGGCCGTAGTAGCATAGAGCAGAAGTCACGAGCCTGCCCCGGAGTGGTAGCATCAATAATGTCTTGTACGGCTGAGAGACCTCCCATTCCAAGAGACCGAGATAGCTGTCCCACCAGCCAGCTCACCACTCCGACATGCCAGCTATTTCCAATCATGCTCATACGGATGTCTTCATAGTTCTCTCCTCTTTGGTCGCCTTTGGGCACGCGTTGCCTCGTGTAATCAATGGGAAACCCCATCAAGGCCTCCCGTTCCTGGATGCCTGGTCGCCGCCACATGCCTTGGCGGTTCCATAGGACATGGTCATCTTTGTACTGGTACGGCGGGAAACGATGTTTGTCTGCCTCCCATCTGGCAACTTCGTGTGGTTGACAGTGTTGTAACCCCGCCGGTCTCCGTCCTGGCGTTGCTCTTGGCCTCGAAGTCGTCAAAGTTGGCAGGTGACAGCCTTCCGCAAGTGACCCTCCCGGCATCAGGAGGCCCTTACCGTTCACCTTACCCTTCAACAGCAGTGGTTGACAGCGACTCCAACCTTCACCTGAGCACTCACCTACCTCGACATCTTGCTGCTCAGGAAGCTCCCAGCTAATCCAGTACAATCTTGGCCGCTCACATAGTGAAATCCCTTTTGCGTCAATTCTCACAGGAGTTCGGCCAAACTCCCGGCTCATGATTGCTCTATCTTCAATACTCATCGAGGCCACATTCTCAATGAGTTCATGTACCTGGGCCCAAGGGAAGGCTCGTCTGAAGAGCTGAGTTATACGAGGAACTTCTTTGAAGAGGCAGCTTCTCTCATCCCGCAACACGCCTTTGCGGTCGGCGTTTAAGCCACTCACCCCTTGACAGGGTGGCCCAGCTCCCACCAGGATGAGTCCAACATTGCTGTACTGCAAGGCTAAAGCCTGAACCTGCTCTTCACCAAAAGCACAGA